AGATATGATATATAAATTTATTGAACATAAAACTATTGAAGCTGTTCATTTCTGCTGCAAAGTTATTCTGATATTCAGGAAACAAAAAGATTTGTGTTATTCATTCTTTGCTGATACCCATAAATTGTGAAGTTCTAGATGAACTGCTGTGAGGATTTATGAGGTAGAAAGCACTACTCAAATCCAAAGAATTACTGGAGAATAATTAGAATGCTGATAATATGGAGCTTGGTATTTAGGATCTATAGACTCAAGTTTAAGTCTTAATATGGCAACTATAATTGTTATATGCTTTTGCATGAGGAGGTGACCTTTCTAAATTTCTAAATTTAGTTTTATTTATCATTTTTGAAGGGAAGGGAATGGTTCTGATAGTTAATACTGCTTGTGGGTGTGTCAGATTGTCTACTACATTATGCTACTTAACACAAAAAGCACGGAGTTATGCACTAGCATTTCCCGCAATTTATAGAGGAGGGCCTATAGACTATGATATATAAATATTCTAGGGATAGAGTTGTTCAAGTAGTAAATAATAAAGCAGTAAAACATTTTTAGACAATCAGATTCTATAGCTCAAGCATGTAACCAACAGTATATTCCTTTTTCACAGGACTATTACAAAGATTCAATTAAAACCTATTTCTAAAAATCAAAATAAGTTGCATTATACATACTACAACTTCAAGACTTACTAGTTATTATCGCTATTAATAATACTTATATACAATATAAGATTAATTTTAGTCAACAGCAATGTTATACATTTCATAATGATGTTATTTTGTATTCTTAATCTCATTATACCTAGGATCCTAAAGGGAGACCAACACATAGCATAAAATTATAATACTGTTGTATTAATGTGTAAGTAAAGCCACATATGAGCTAACTTAGCAGTATGGGAATTGAAGTCCCTTGCCTTTCTTGAATAAAATACACTGCCAATGCAGTCTACACAAATTCCAGGTTCAAATTCTTTAAATTTACATAGGAACATGAGGATGAATGTGTAACAGTCTGAGTGCATCCATTTCTAGGTTGATGTTTACAAGTTATTTTTCTACTTTCATGTTTGCTTACACAAAATCAATTTGATAACATACTTTAGAAATTGTATTAGAGAGTTCCAAATCTCCAAACCACAAATCTCTTGCCTTTCATATTTATATTCCATTGGTTTATGTACTCTTTAACTGAGTTGAGTAATTTGAATAACAAGTATGAATGATACAACAGATTTGACAAAAATTCTTCTGTGGTGATCACCAATGAAACTTGTAGGGAATTTAGCCTGACAAAGAGCCTGTTGTTCCCTGGCATTCAGAAAGCCAAAGCCACCAGAAGGGTACATTCTACAGAAGGGAATGTAGAACATCTGTTTGTTAAGCTGGTTAGTAATGACAAGATAAAATGCCTTCTGCTATACATTTGGATTTCATTTGAACTTTACAGCAACCTCTTAAAGCAAGTAAGGAAGAAGCTTATTATTTATATGAGGAAATTGAAAACTTACCTAAAAATAAATACTCAGAAGTGACAAAACTGGGAATGAAATCAAATTCTGTTTCCCTTTCACTATACAATATGCTTTGTAAAATCTAAAGAAATGAGCTGAAACATGTTTAGGCCATTAGCTTCTCTTCAATAAGATGCATTGTCTCTAAATAAGTTATTTTATGTATTTTAAACAGAAAATGTTGCATCAGAATAGGAAAGAAACCAAATATCTCATTGGGTAATGAAAATACACACACACACACACACACACACACGCACGTGTAGACACTGCATTGGCTAACGCTGCATTGTATGAAGCTAGGATTCCTCTAGTGAGTGTAAAACTTTAGCACAGGGCTCTTTACTACAGAAATATGACAGGCATTTTTTTTTATTTTCCCTGATGTAATTCACGGAAGTTAAGATACAGTCTTCTTTTTCATTGTACCACCACAACTCAGAGAAAAGAGGTTTCAAACTTGAGAGACATTAAGAGAATTTCCTATTTGGTTCCAAAATGTGTATAATGCAAAACCCATATGTAATTATTTTAGTGTTTTGAACCTTTTAACAATTTCTTGAAGTCCATGTTCCCCATAAAGGATAAAAATTAAATGCATAAAACTCATTGAAATAGAATACAGTAGATTACATTGAAATATAGTAATCAAAATATTAGAAAAAAGACATTTGTGATTAAGCAATCTATATACTTATTTATTAACAGATTAAACAGAAAGATCTAGTGACGGGGCTGCTAGCTATTTTTTTCAAGATAGTAGCAAGTGAAAATTATGACTAAAAACAACTGCAGTCACTGCAATATGATATGAAATTATGTGTGAATACAACTTTGAGAAAGTCATATAATGCTTATTTTGTCGTTTGCTGCCCATATTCATCTATAAGGAAATGAATAATTTCCATTAATGTTAGTAAAAATAATGATATACTATTTGTCTCATAAAAGTTCAGGAACACTTTTAATTCTGTTTACAAACCATTATGTTTCACAGAATGTAGAATAAGGATTCCTGCTACAGAATATTCTATGGCCCACATTTTCCTTTTCTTTTTAGTCATCTCTATGTCTTCTGTACATTTTAGTTTTTGATTTTATATTTTATTTCCCTTCAAAAACGATAGTCAGTTCAAATATAAACACTGCACATTGCCAAAGTTATATTCTGCTGTTTAATATGATAGCATTTGAGTTGGAATTAGTTTTGCAGCAATAACACAAAACCTTAAATAACAGAGTAAAAATATTTAGAGGAATGTCATACCATAAATTCCAATTACAAAAATTAACACAAATATTCAATAAAATAATATAGATATAAATCTAATGTTTTAAATATTTGTAAGTATGGTTTGTTTGTTTTATTTCAAAAAAATCCTTAATGTTAAGATGTAAATGTAGAATACTCAATATTTTTATTAGTTTTTAAAAGAAAGGAGTTTAAAAGGATTCAAGAACAGTGTATGTTAATTAGGAGATATATATATATATATATATTTTTTTTTTAAGTCCTGAAGTATACCTAAATAGTGGAGCCTTGAGAATTAAAACAGACAGAAACAACACAATCCTTGCCCAAATTTACACATTCATTGCTTCACAGGAAAATTCTGTGAATTTGGATTCAGATCCAAATTCAGATATGTGTCACTGTCTTCTTATATTTGAATGTATGCTTAGATGACACCCAAACAAAGCTGAGAGCTTTAGTGTGTAATCTAAGATGCATCCAAACACCTATACCTTTATAAGCACTAATTTATTCATTCAGACATGTAATACCAGGTGTATAATTCCCACAATGTCTCGTGTTACGTAAAAAATTGGTGAGAACAGAGATCAAACACTTATTTTCATTAAATAAAATGCTAACACCTTCACATTCACATTTATTAGGACGTTAAACTGAAGAAGTGAGAAGGAAGTCATACATCTTTATTTGATTTAAGTGAGCTAAGTGCCCCAGAGATAAGTGTTTTCTACCTTCTGGCCTTCTATCAACCAGAGTACAAAGGAGCCTGAGGTCTGGTGCTCTGGGCAAAACGGGTGCTTTAATTCTCTGAATCCATTAAGACAGCCTCATCATGGAATCCATTCTTGCTTATATCTGTCGCTATTATTTGACTGAAGTGCTCAGTCATCTCAGATCATCTTTCAGATGGTTCAAACAAAGTCTCCTCTGATCAAAATATTTTAAATTTTGCCCCAGATTCCACACTTTCATTTTCTTTCGCATTTTTTCTATATTACTCAATAACATCCAGCATGTGCTATATTTTATACTTTTTCATTGTTTATCTTCTGATTTTGATTGTACACTCTGCTAGAGAAAGGAATTTTGTTTGGCTTATGTACTTGTATGTCTCCCATACTTTGAATATTGCCTGGCAGGTGGTACTTCTTGATGAAAAAGTTGTTGATAGATAAATAAATGATTAAAGGAGATGTCTCCAAATAGGATAGTTCCACCTACCAGTTTACCTTAACATCTCAAATCCCAGTATGGATGACCAAATCAATGCTTTCTCATGCCACCAGGCAGCCTCATGATCTGCACATACTCTATTAACCTCTTCAGTTTTCTGAACAACAAACAGGAAGATGACACAGCTAGAAATTGTGAAATCATCTGTGTCTCCAGCTCTTCTTTCATTACCATTGCAGTCTTAGCCTCACATATGAGTAGAACATTTCAAAAAGTTTCTGAACAGTGTGCTTCCTCTTAAAAGAATTGGAATCCCTGACAGTGATAGCTCTAACTTTCATTACTGGCATACCATTGTCATAGAAAGATACTCTAGTTTTACATTTTTTTCACCCTAAACCTGCATTTTCTTCATCTGGTTATTATTTTCTTGGGGGAAGGAAAACCGGATGTATATTTTTTTTTTTTTTTTTTTTGAGACGGAGTTTCTGAGTTCAAATTAATAATCTAAAAAGATTAATTTCTTGCATTCTTATGTTTTAGAAATGGTGTTTCAGAATTAACAAAGATTAAGATTTTCTTGAGATTATCTCACTCTGTATTTACTATTTCCACCTGTTTGTAAACTAATTTCTCTATATAAGCATGGAACTCATTTAAGCGGTATGTTAATTTGACCTTATAACTAAATTGATAAATTCTTTCGCAATACCAAGTAGTGACCATCCCTTCTTTTCCAAAGGAGAGAATGAACCTTGTGGACTACATGTTAATTACTGCACCAAACTCATTTTGCTAAGTGCTTGGGCATAAGTAAAAGTTATCTACCATCTTCTCCCCTTCCTGTGTTCATCTGTCTTTCCTTATCTGTGTTCTTTCCTCTCTCTCTATTTGGTGGCATGCTCAGTTTTCAATCACTTTACCTTGGCATCACTAACAAGCCTACTTTTTTTTTTCTCCCACATCCAGGCTGTTCATCCAACACATTTCAAAATTCTGTTATTTCTTCCTGTTCCTGTCCTTAAAAGCTGTCACTTCCCCTCTGTTCCTGAAGCCAAAAACCTCATCTTAATATCTTTGTCTACAGCAACATGTTCTCTTCTACTCAAAATTTATTCTGTGGTTTATTTTACAAGCCACATAAATTAGAAAAATTCCTGTTTTCCTTTCAAGGTGATTGCCCATTTTACATTAAGTTACTTCTGACTTGATGGAAGCTGAGTTCCTTTTGATTCACCCTGATGCTCTTCTTTCTGCCTGTTCACATGGAAACCTGCCCAATTTACTTCTCCACATTGTTTTCAATTGCAGACATTATTTGTTTGTAATTCCTTTCATCCATATCTCTAAGTTGAGAAAACTCAAACCTTACACTCCTGAATCAATCAGGATAGGATAGGAAGTGCTGTTGTGACAAGTAAGCCCTGAATTGCAGAGGTTCACAACAAAGGAGAATTTTTCCTCAACGCCATTCTCAGGTGTTGAGACCACTGCCTGTGTAGTTTTGTGGTGCCTTTACTTTAGGTCCAAGGTGGGCAGAGTAGTGTCTGGATAGAACATTACAGGTTTTGGCAGGGGGACATAGAAACTATGTACTGAGTTATTAAACTGTCTGCTTGGAACAGACAAAGGCCAGTTATGTTTACATCTAGTGAAATTTAGTCCCATGACAATGCTCTAGCTGCATAGGGTGAGGATATGTGTTTCCTGCTGGTTTGCTGAAATCTTGAGCACCATCCTCTTTGGTCAACAGTAATATAATCTTCCCTACCTTCACAGTCACTGCCACTACCACCAAAATTTTGCATTTTGACCAAGAAAATTCAGTTGACCTGGAAATATGAAAGGTTTAATCTGTCACCAGCTCTCCCCGAAATGAGGCTGTCAGTTTGAAGCAAGGCTCTGGCAAACTGTAAGTCTGTGTGGCAGAAGCAGGGCAAAATCTATCTTGGAAATGTGAGTTCCAGAAGGACAGATAAGAATAATGACAAAAGTCTGCTGCAGCCTCTTCAGTGCAGTTATACACACATGCACTATTGTTACTAAATTATTTTTCCTTCAGATATAAGAGGCAGTAATATAGTGTGTGAATGCCACCTGCTTAAAATAAGAAGTAAATGAAAAGAAACAATTAGCAAATGCATTAGACAGGGTACCATTGGGGGAGAAAATGACTGATTTCAGGAATCTTCTTTGAAATACAAGAGAGAGAACTGATGTGAGATTCAAAGATTTGCCATTCACAATTGAATTTGAACACTCTCAAGGTGAGATTCCTGATTTTAACTAGACACATTGAATTTACTAATAGAATTCCTGTTCTATATTACCTTTTCAATCCTAGTTATTTAATATAAATTATAAAAATATATTAAAATTTTGTATAGAGTCTACAAAATATTGTTTATTGAATATGGCAGTTGATTTTGTAAGTATTATTTTAGGAAATTATACTAATTCCAATTTCTTCTTTTGCATTAGATAATAAAATCAACTGAACATAAAATACTAATACCATGGGTGATCTTAGAGATGATTTCCTTTAAAGTCCCAACCAATTCTGGAACATTTCTTGTGTGCTTGAGTACAGTTGTTTTTTTTTTTTTTTCTTTGATTTATATCTCTGTTAAGAAGCTTGATACATCTCTTGTCAACCTGTTATGTTATAAACACTTCTATTTTTCAGACAGACCTTTCTTCCTATTTACCTGAAGTCTATCCATAATGTCTAGTATATTATCATGGTTCTGATGACTGGAAAAATGTCCATTTCATCTTTTATATAAAATAATTTGCAAATCACTATGGCTTCTTTCTTACCTTTTCCTTCTCCTTTCATTCCCTTTTCCAAAATAAATTCCTTAGTATCTCTGATGTTCTCTGATACGACAAAAATTACATATCTTATAACAGTGTCATAAAATTTTCCAGTACCTTTTCGTTCATTTAATAATTACTTATTGTCTGTGTATTCTGTAACATCAATACCCATGCTGATCCAATGTTGAGTATTCAAATGCAGTTTCTGCTCTTGTGAAAGTTACAGCCTAATTGAGAGACAGATATTTAGAAAAAGATATGTAAGTTAATATATCATAACATAGCATGGTGCATGTTCCAAAGGTAAATGACAGTGTGCTTTAACACATGGTATATTGAACAAACTACCCTGGATAGGCATGTTACACTAACATGTTTATTAATTTAGCCTCCTAAATTCATTTCTGCTCTTAACATCCTAAGTGGCATTAGCTTTATTTGCTGCAGCATTAAAACTGTGACAAATTTCTTGTTAATAATATATGACTTTAGTATCAATATGCTTAAAAGCATATAGAGCATATAGAGAACTTTAAATTCTACCTTCCAATATTTATTTTGCCATAGTATCTTCTATTAAAAAACCCTAAACCAACAGCAGCAACAACAAACAGTGTCCACAAAGCAACAAACAAAAACCTTGGCAGGTTTTTCTGAGTTTTCATGCATTTGTTTGGAATTATTTAGAGGGAAATTAAGTTACATTTCAGGCTTAGGTCTGATGGATTGCGGAGAGAGAATGAGGTGCTGTTTAAGTTGAAAATCTTTGGAATGTGTCAGATTAGATCACGAGAGACAATTGCTATTTGTACCCCTTTGCCAGAGTTCAACAATAAGCCAGAGTGTAACGACTTATTGTTTTCATCTAGCCGGGAAGTAAAAGTCTCTTTTTATTCTTTTTGCAACTTAGTAATCATAGAATTCTCAAGAAAGGCCTAAGGTGGAAAATGTATTGAACTAGATAGAACTTAGCAATTTAACGAAAAGTGCTGTTCTTGTCCTGTAAAAATGAAAGAGATGATTGAAACTTAAGACATTAAGAGGTAAAAGAAATTGCATTCTCAAGATTAATTTTTTAAAGGATCCAAGGAGTTCTAGTTTTTCTTTTTTAAAGAAAAATTGTAGTTGTAACTTGCTAGAAGAAAATGAAATCTTTAAATTTTATTACAAAGAGGAAAAAAACAAATCTGACCTAGACAATTTATGTGTGTATGAGGTCCATTAGAAATAGTTTATAATTTGTTTTGGCAAAACCAAAACAAATACAAATGTTTCCCAAATTAATACATTTTCAAATTAATAATAATCTAATTTATAATTTATGAAAAATTCTAAAATATTAATATATACTGAAAGAACAGTAGTTTGATTTAACCAATTTTCTAACATCTGAAATAAACACTTCACGTAAAACATTAAAATAAAATATACTGTTAAGTGAAAAGTTAATTCATTTTCTTAATCTATAATAGAGATAAAGAAAATGTGATAATTACAAAGAAGATGATGAGGAAACAGAATGACTATCAGTAAGACCAAATTGTATTCACAACCCTAGAATCATGCTGAAGCCCACCGAACATAAGTGAATTACTTTTCCCTGGGTGTGTCTGTATTTCTCAAATAAACTGAGAAGTCTGTGTATTATTGACTTCAGTCTGTGTACATGTAAAGGGGCCACAGTTGGCTTGCAAGTCAATTTTTAAGGTACCTGGGCTTTGCCTTCTTTAACAACCCTTTTGCTCAGAATGTTGTGTGCTGTCTGGCTTGCCTTGCAATTAATCCTGGATTTGAAACTGACAACTGTGAACCAGCAAGAAAATGATGTGGCAAGAGTTGCCATGGCTGAAGAATATTCAAAGAAAGGTCTGCCTGGGCAGGTCACAGTTCATGGCAGGATCACAGACAACAGGGCAGATGCTTGTCTCCTGAGACCCCTTAGGCCACAAAGACTTTGAAATGTTATATATATATCTCTCACATTTGTTTTTTTTTTTTCAAAAAAGTAAATATAGTACAGGTACTAATTTTTAAAATTATTATTACTATTATTATTATTTTTTGAGGCAGGGCCTCAATATCAGCCAGGCTGTAGCACAATCATGGCCCACTGCAGCCTGGTTCTCCAAGGCTCAAGTGATCCTCCCGCCTCAATCTCCCAAGAGTCTGAGACTACAGGCATGTGCCCCTATGCCAGGTGCATTGTGTGTGTGTGTGTGTTTTTTGGAGAGAGCATTTCACCATGTTGGCCAGGCTGGTCTTGAACTTCCAGGCTCAAGCAATCCACCCTCCTTGGCCTCCCAAAGTGCTGAGATTACAGGCATGCACCGTTGTGCTCACTGATACCAAATATGAAATAACATTTTGAGTAGTTTCTGAGGCAGTACCTCGTAATCAAATACATTAATATTTCTGTATCCAAAAGATATAATAGTCACACGAAGAGGAATAAATTGCAATTATAGAGCATGTTATTGCAATTAAGATTCAATTTGCAAATGAGTAAAATAATTTTTAAATATATTAGATTTTGAAAATTCCATATATTTTGTTATTCTAGATAAGGTATTATAAGCCCATATGTACAAAATATTTACTGTGTATTTAAGATGTTTCAGGAAACCTGAAAAAAGAATATGGAAGAGCAAGAAAGATAAATCCAACCTTTTGGTTTCACACAAATTTTAAGAACTCCGAGGTTTGGATTTATACAGGGAAGGATTGTATTTGGGGTTTTCCATGTGGGGAGACGTGACCCCCATCAGGCACAGGGCATTTTCTCCTGCAGTGTCTCACACAGCACTGTAGAAATACCAATTGGCAATTGCCTCACCACACTATCAATATTTTTATTTATACTCTCTCTCACTAGACTGTGCAATCCTTAGAAGCAGGAATTATGTCTTATTCATATTTACATTTCCTGTACCCAGTTCATTGCCTGGAATATGAAAAGCACTAAAAATGTATTTAATAAATAAGTATAATGAAATGATTTTTGCCCGAGTTTGGGGATAATAAGGCAGATCACTTAATGATTCTTAATTTTTTGTGCTAGATTATACTAAATTTGCTCCTCAACTAATCAGAGAATGCTTATGAAAATAATACAGATTCATAATATGCAGGCGTGGAAAGCAAATTCAAGTCCTGATACTGGTTTTTAGTACTGTATAGGTCTCTAGTTGAGATCATATGTATGAAAGCTGAAAAAAAAATCAGAATAAGTAAAAGACACAATATACTTGTCACACAAATATTTTAAATTTGATATACTGTGAACTTAATTTGAATGAATGAGGATGAATGAGTATCTGCTGAAGAAATGGCATGTATTATTCCTGACTCCTACTTTCATCTTCTGTTAAATAAAAAACAAATAATGACAACCTCTGTGCTTAGCACTGTTAAATAATTTTAAGAATGAAATCATTTCATGTCAATATTATTTAACAGAGGAGCTCAGGAAAGGGAGTAAACAATATGGGCTAAACATTTTTTTAGAAAGATATTTTGAGGTACATTGAGAGATTGGAAACAGCAAGAAAAAAGAACAATCTATTAAAAGATTCAAGTTAGTGTTGTATATTACAGAGGAGATGCAGTGATAACTAAATATACATAGATTTGGGAGGGCTACACTGAAAGATCTTGACAAGGGGAAAACACATTGCAAATGCCTGGGCATGAGTATTAAGGGATAATAATAAAATTTAGATCCATAAGTTGTGTTGCATTCGGATAGAATTTGTAAGATTTCATACAGAGATCATAGGTTTTATTCCAGTAAAATGTGTTTTTAAACTTAAAATCCATAATTACATTCAGGGTACAACAAATCACACTGGACAATTGCCATGTCAATAAGGATTATTACATATTTTCAAATTTTGGAATTATAAAAAATATTTGCAAGAGTTTCAGCAAAATTAGCTTTCTAGGAGGGGAAGGATGGCCAGATCTGCCAAAGCCAGAAACACGGTTAAAAAATTTAGAAGCTTCCTTTTTCAGGGAATATGGGCCATCCAAATGCATGGGTGTTTTTGCTCAGCAGAAGAATGGTGAGACTCAGGCAGGCCCATGATATCGTTCTGATTTCAGAAGATTTGGCTAATTACAGTGGATCTCTAGCCAGAAGAAATAGACTAAGTAACACAATAGTTCACACGGTTTAAGATGGGAGAACTAATGAGGAAAGACCTGTAGTCCCAGAGGCCACCTACCTGAAGGTGCTGCCTTTTGACTAACTCATTTAAAGCAGGCTGTGACCAGGTAAGAACTAGAAAATACTCCGGATAGGGCCACCATGACCTAAAGAATCAAATGACAGTGTCAGTGCTATCGTCAGCATAGGAAATACAATCAGAATAAAAAGGAAAAACATAGGCATATCTAGGAAGAAAGAGTAAATTTAAATTTAAAAGTACATTTTTTTCAGTTCTCAAGT